AGTGTTGAAATATCTGGTAACGCAAAGGCAACTTTTTATTATTCCAGAAAACTACTAAGCGTGTAATTCGCTTAAGCAAGTACGAGCCTATATCTGGACATTCTCTAGACCTATCAAGAGGTTAACGAGTCTTAAGTATCATCATGTAGGCAATCAACCGGCAGCAGGCCACAAAATGGTTCCAACCAGTTCAAATGTTCCGCCAATCTGTTGCTCGTTCCCACACAGAATACAAAACATTTTGCTCTCACTAATGCTTCTTCTTACAAGAACTACCGTACTCCGACATGACGATGTAACAGCAGTGGGCGGGCACAAGTCGCATCTGCGGCACCGGTGATGGGATTATCCGTGTTATTGGACCAGGCTTTGTGATCCGCGCCGCGTAATTCTGTTATGGCAATCAGCCCACAAACTGGCAAATGACATGATACCAGCCGGCTAGAGACGTCCATCTTCAATTCAGGCACCACTACCAATAACAGTGCCAAAATAAAGCAGCTCCCGAATATCAACAAGGGACTCAACAATTGGATGGTGAAAAAGCCAAAGAGCACTCGTCCCATTGCACTATAGTAAGATCTTTCTGACACATTGAATTAATCAGCGAGGTAGTCTTTTTTATTGGGAAAGAACCCTAAATTTGTCTGTTTGGTTGATTTGCAAGGTACACTTAGAAAAAATTTCGAAGTTTGAAAATCTTATGTATAGTTCTTTATAAAAATCCTCACAATTCTTATCACGGTACAATTTAGAACTCTGCCATTCCACTCTTTTCATTCACTGATTCTGCTTATATCCGTTTACGAATTGGATGGCCAAGAAAGAAAGTTCTCGCATGAGTTTTTTGACGCAGAACTTTTAACAACACTGTTCTCTTCAGGTTCACAATTTTCCAGACCTCCCACGGCAAGTGGGATTTATCAAGCATTAACCCTCGGCCCTGCACTAAGTTAAAAAGCAAAATCGGCTAATTGAGGTTTCCTCTCGGTGTTCACGAAGGAACTGAGGAGAGCGGTTGAGGAAGGCGCAAGACATACAACGTTTTCAATAAAAAATGATAGATTTAGAACCACAAATCGAAAATGATTTTAAGTGATTTTTCCAAATTACATATTATATCTTAATGCCATGCAGAAACTACTGATACTTGGCATGGCTTCAAATTAACAATTCTTTTCAGTTACATCCATTTTTTGAAACAAACGGTATACCCGTACTGAATGGGCAGATCTGCCAGCTTGCTCGCAAGTTAGGAGCATCCAGAAACCCTGTATCTGCGATGAACGTCAGCAGCATCCCATTTTATACTAGACAATTTTATTTTATTTTGTCGGCATGAGCATCTTTTTTAAAATAATGCATGCACCAGACCTGCTTCAATAGTGCCGAACTCAGAGCGAGTGTTAACATCGTTGTGTTGCTTCTTCAAATAGTTGTCAGCAATGCCCTAAGAATGCTCTTTTTTTCTACTCTGGCAGACCATCTGGTAGGCTAAGGGTGTGTAAAAACTGACTTAATATCCGCTATGTAAGAGCGGCGACATGATACTAAATTATATGTATATGGATAGTGGCCTCGAAAAAACAAGAAATTGCCTTTTATCACTTTTTATTTGAAATAATATGGGTTCCTCCAGTGGCAGATCCAAGTCAATG